AGAAGGAAAGGTTCCTCGAGACAATGGCGACCCAGGAGCACAAATATGAACAACGGAGCGTCGTTGAATGGAGATTCGTGAAGGTGTCCTCTATTGGGTTCGGTACCATTCTCCCCCCCAGACTGGGTCCAGGTCGTTCTCGGGCAGGGCACCTTCTAGTGGATTACCTGTCCTGGCGAAGAGGACAGCTGTAAGAAAAAAAAGTTGTGGCGCCCTCCCCCCAAATGCAAGGCTGACCACACGATAAGCTTTCCATTGGTGCGATAAGAATAAGCACTGGGATTTGTGGCAGTTGTCCCGAGAATAGTGGGGCTTGAGATCCACTCGGTGCTCTCAAGCCACATTAAAGGGGCCAACGCCCAGCTTCCCATCTTCAATTCCTGTTTGACCAAGCAACTCATGGACACCTTTTTGGACTGGGGATTACCTAAAGGTTACGTGGATTATGACACCATCACGGAGCGGTCAGTCACCGCAGATCCAACGTGTTAGTATCGGCCTGTTTGTGGACAAGTGTCCCCCAGCAGCTCATACTGTCTGATCCCATTGCCAAAAGGACAGTCTTACATCGGAGTTGTTTGTAGGATGGGGCACTTGCATAAGAGACAAGGCAGACTTTCTTACAACAAGACAGTTGCTCAAATTCCATGAGGAATATGAGACAGCCAGCCCATTCCGAGTCGACCAGGCATACTACTTCCGATGTGAAAGGGCCTGGCTGACAGGTAGAATGCTGGGCCTCCATCTGAATGTTTCAGTCTGGAATCACATACTAAAGTGAGAATCTGAAGTTCAATTCTCATATGAAAGACGTTGCACACTTGACACTAATTACGGCTACTTACTCCCACCAAACACCCTCCTCGATATCATCCGAAATCGGAAACACAAGCTCTTTGAGTTCCCTTTGCCGTTCACATCATTAGAGATCGCGGGGTAATAAAGCTACAGTGGGGCAACTGATGGCGGGGTACAATCCAGCTTCCCTTGCATAACCTCCCAGCTGCAACCACACCAACCGACAAGGAACAAGAACTGCCATCAGCATATCACGGTGGAATACCTCGGGGATTTTATCCCTTAGGAGGCTTCGACCTCAATAGTCGCTCAAGTGGAGGCCAATCGGTCACCATGGCTCATGTGGATAATGAAGTCAGAGGCAGACTGGCGTTGGTCACGGGTGCCTCTGGTGGGTGAGTTGAGGCGACAACCTCCTTCAGCGAGTTCGTACCTGACAACCTCAGAATCGGAGGAGCCTGCGCTCGAGAGCTCTTCAAAAATGGCGCGCGTCTAGCCCTGACATGTTCATCCGAGAAGACCTTGGCCAAAATTACAGACCTCGCTACTAAGCTTCGGAACTCAACAGGCGACGACACTGACGTTACATGCCATGTAGTGGATATGTCTTCCGCCACGGACATCGAAAAACTCTTTCAGAATATCATGGATGAACACGGCCACACCCCCGATATACTTGTATCCAACGCCGGCACGGCAGGATTCAACAACAAAGCCAACCCCTACCTGGAAAACATTTCCCTCGAAGAGTTCGACTTCACCATCAACATCAACCTCCGCGCCTCCTTCTTGCTGTGCAAGCTCGCCATGCCGCACATGGTCTCCCAGGGCTGGGGCCGCATCGTCTTTGTGTCGTCCATCTCGGCTATTGGAGGTGGCATCAACGGCTGTCACTACGCCGCGAGCAAGGCCGGCATGACGGGCCTCATGAAGAACCTCGCGTCCAAGCATGCCAAGGACGGTGTCACGCTCAACGACGTCGCGCCGGCTATGATTGGCGACACGGGAATGATTCCCGATGAGAAGCGCGTGGAGGGCACGCCTGGTGATGTGAAGAATATTCCTGTCGGACGGCTTGGGACGCCGCAGGAGTGTGCTAATGTTGTGTTGATGCTGTGTAAGACTGGATATTTGACTGGCCAGAGCATCTTATTGAGTGGTGGGCTGAAGTGAAATCTTGACATCCTTTTTCTCTCTTATATTTCCGTGGATATTGGTTGTTTGTAGTACTATTGATACAGCTATAATGAAAGTGGCCCTGAAATATGATATCCAAGTCAACCGCGCAGCTATGGACAAGAGGGGCATCACACTCTATGACGTTCACTGTCGCCAGGAATAAAGCTCATATCGTGCATATATTCAAGGTGCGAAAATCATCTCTGCGATGGAAACACTCTACATCTTCACATTTTTGCGGTTTTGTGATTACTCTCCCCGAATTCGACCGTACTGTGCGTCGGAAGGGTTTCTGCGGGGTTGTTGTCAGCTGCCAGCCGCGGCGTAATTCCCAATGGATGATTACATATGATCTTCATTAGTGTCAAACGAAACAGACCCAAAGTCGTTATCCCATTCCCCCAAAACATCCTCTTCGTGAAGTTTTCTAAGTAGCGTAACCCTTCAACCAAGAAGAGAACATAGCTCTAGTAAGACGTGATTGTATCCAGCAACATTTGACGGGACTTGCACACAATGCCTCTCTACGAGGTATCTCACGCCACCCCTCTAAGCCAAGGCCAGAGGGATCAGCTCGCCGAGTCCATCACCGCAGTACACAGCACCAAGTTCACCGTCCCGAGAATGTTCATCAACGTCATCTTCACAGACTCATCAAATACCCCAACCTACGTCGGCGGGAAACAAGTGAGACCCCATTCTTCCGTATGTAGACAATCACATCTACTAATCCTCAAATCGCAAACCCCAGCGCATATCAAACCGCATCGTCGGGCGCGTCCGCCGGGGATCCTCCCGGACGCAGGAGGACTTCAGCTCGTTATGCTACGAGATCCGAGCCGCGTGGGCTCAAATCGTGCACCCGGAGACGGCAGATGAGGGAGGCAAGCTGCCGCCTCAGGATCTGGAACTGAGGTCGGTCTTTATTACCGGGGAGCTCATCGCCGGGTTGAAAGCCAGTTTCCCGACACCATCGGCTGGCGATGAGCTTGCGTGGGCTGAGGAGAATTACGCAGCGTTCAAGGAGAGGGCAGAGGCGGGAGATGAGGATTTTGCAGATCTTGTTGCTGAGATTCAAAGTTGGCCAGAGTTTGAGTTTTGAAAATATTTAGTTTGACCTTATTGACGGCATGGAGGAGGAGCTCAGAAAACTACACCATCACTCGGAATATGCATTCTGCTTTCACATGACATATCTAGCCGAGGGACCTCTCGCCTGATCAGTCGAATTTGATAAAAGCCAGCCGCCATACCACAGAACCCATCTTTTCTACAGCAATGTAAGCATATCCTCGTTTTGGATGACAAAAGTTGGATCTCTGCTGGGGGTTTGGCCTGGGATTCTATGAATAGGATGGCATCTCTCGCAGACCGAAACAGGTAGGCCCCTTTGGCCACCATGGGCCTACCGACGCCTCTAGACGCTTATTCCATGGTGAATCACATCCAAATTGAGACCGTCAGGGTGTACTCATGCTTCGATTCACTGCCGCCTTCGCCCATCGCAGAGAACTATAGTTGCTCCCTGCCACGCTAATCACCTCAAGTCCCTCCATCTTAAAAGAACCGACTCGAACTTCTCAATGACGCGTTTGGTAAGAAAGATCCTTCAGCCTGTGATATCCTGTTGATTTATATAGTCAACCACAACGGAGCAGGACTATAGTCTAGAGGTACTAGCTAGCTACCTAGTCCTCTCAAATATGGAGAGCATAGAATCAATAGTCATATTAAAGATATTCTCTTTAATGAACGCCCCTTTGCACCTTAAAGAAGCTGCGTATATATGATGTTGAGTTGCTAGTAATGAAAGTAGAAGGAGTACTTGATGTTTGTTTGGCAGTCTTATTGTAGGCCGTTAAGAGCACTACTACCTGGGGAAATATCTAATTCTGTAAAGCACCACGCCATCACTTCTCCGCTAAGAAAGACACGGTAAATCAAATACGCACTTACACAGCCGCGGTGTCTTTCCCACGTTCTAACCTCAGACCCATAGGCTGACCACTTCTTCCCGACAACCGTACCCGGAGGGCAGGCACGGCGAAGCCAACCGTACCTGCCCAAAACCTTCATCCCATAATCTTCCATTCCCGCCCGCCCGACCAGAATACGCACCAGGCAGGCAGAAGCCCTTCATATACCCCTCCAAGTCCATTCCAGTCACCAGCCAGCAGGCGCCCGTCTAGGTCGACGGGTCAGGTCAAACTGGCTGGGTGGTGGAGTGGTTTAGGGTCGACAATCAAAATCGCCAACCAGCCTACTCGACGACAGGCTAAGCGCATACGAGTACCCGAGTTCGAGTCCCGGATTGAGCACCCAGAAAAACTCCCAGCATGAGCGCCAGAGATGTAGCCCCCAGTTCAGCACCGGGGGGGTGAACTCTTTTGCTATTTCTGTCAATGTTGATATCCTTTTTCGGTGGTGTTTTGGTCGTTTATATAAGGGGGGCCGGCTGTTCTCCCTTCCACCTACGTAAATATACATACATCTGTTACATCTCTACTCGCTGGAGGTGACGTTGTATGTTATCTCCCCAGACGTCTTTTTTTATATACAAGTGGATTATTTCGACTAGATAATTGTAGATGGGACACCTCTCTGCCCCCTACACACTTAGTCACTTGCGTGATTTGCATAAAGTCATTGAATGATGTAAGATTGGTATCATTGGATTAACTATTTCTCTTTCTCTCGGTCTCGCACCGTACACGATCGTCGGGTCTATCAGGCGTGTGGATATCTTTTGGTTTTGATGGTAAAATTTATCGTACAGGGGGTGGTTATGTCGTATCTCTCGATCGGTCCAAGGAAAATAAGGGCAAGAGTACAGGTCGGATCTCGATCGGTTCGGGTCATTCGTAACATTGAAGGGTAGAAGAAAACAAAAAAGCCAACACACGCTCAGATAGACAAACAGGGCTGGATGCCCCTCACACCGAAGGGGCACCCAATGCAAATTGAGAGGCTCACCGCGGAAGGTCCTGGTGGCCAGGACCTACCCCGGGTTCTTCTCAAATCTCTCAGTCTTTGCGACTATCCTCCTGATCGCGTTCTCCATCTGTGTTCCGGCTGTCGTGCGACACCGGTCGCTCAACAGGCGACAAGCCTCCAACACTAGCCGCCAAGATACCGGGCATGCCCAGGGCGGCCTTCATCGGCGACGCGCTATGTCTGCTCGACGATCTGGACCCGCTTCGGCTGCGTGTTCTCTCACGGTACTCGCGGGGCTTCATGATAACTTCGCTGATCTGGCTGATTCTTCCTCCCTTGATGCGCTTGAGGAAGGCGAGATCGTCTCTGATCTCGAGCAGGGCATCCTTGACGCCGCCGGCGCCTAGGTGCTCGCTGTCCTCCTCGTCCGTCTTCTTCTTGCGCTTCCACTTGGGGATCTTGGACCACACCCACGCAAGGGGACTGACGATGGCGACGAACCACGAGTCGGGGAAGAGGCGGATAAGGACACCGACGGGGATGGAGATGATGCCGAGGACGATGGAGATGCCCCATTGCGGTCCATTGAGCTTCTCGACCTTGAACGCGGCGCCGCCGACGAACACGATAAGGACCTGGCCGCCGGCCATGATGGACATCATGAGAGCGAAGAGCTTGTTCTTGGTAATGCCCTCGAAAATGTTGAGGTTATTGTCGATGCGTCTGGAGTTGATCAGCTTGAAGATTTGCATAAAGACGAAGACGTTGAAGACGAGCGTCTTTTGCTGGCCAGTAGGGTAGTTGAGGAAGCTGGGGCCGACAAAGTGGAGGATCAGGGTGACGATGAGCTGGTAGATGGACTGGCCGATAATCATCTTCCACATGGGCGTGTTGATCAACGCTGCGGTCTTAGCCTCGGGCTTGCGGTGGAGCATGCTCTCGGTAGGAGGATCGGTAGCGAGGGCGAGGGCGGCGAAGGTATCCATGATGAGGTTGACCCAGAGAAGCTGGACGGCGTTCAGAACGGGCTCTTGGGTCTCGCTGCCCACAGCGGTGACAAAGGTGAGAACGACAGCAGTGATGTTGACTGTGATCTGGAACTGCAAGAACTTCTTGACAGCATCGTTGATGGCTCGGCCCCACGCCATGGCCTTGACGATTGACGAGAAGTTATCGTCCATCAAGATGATATCGGAGGCTTCCTTGGCGACTTCAGTTCCGGTGATGCCCATGGAGAACCCAACATCCGCAGACTTCAACGCAGGCGCATCGTTCGTGCCGTCGCCAGTGACGGCAACAACCTCGCCCAAACTTCGCAAAGCCTTGACCAGAATTCTCTTGTCTTCGGGGCTAGATCGTGCCAACACACACAGATCTCGAACAATGTTGACACGCTCACGCTCGTCCATGCGGCGGAACTCGATTCCCTCCATAACCTTGCCCTTCTCTGTCAGAATGCCGCAGTCCTTGGCGATGGCTTTCGCCGTCTCGACATTGTCACCGGTGACCATCTTGACGGAGACAGAGGCGGTCCGGCAGTCCTCCACGGCCTTCGGAACGCCAGCACGGACGGGATCCTGGATACCTACAACACCGAGCCACGTCAGGTTCTTGAAGATACTGGAGAACTCGATGTTCTGGGAGCCTTCCTCCTTGCGAGCGTTCTCGGGAGGCCACTGCTCGAAGTCGCGGTAGCCAAGGGCAATCGTGCGGAGGGAGCGACGGGCGTAGTCGGTAATGATTTGACGGATGTGCTCCTGCTGATCCGATGCCATTGAGGCAGTCGTAGGGGACTTCGTAGGGTCGGAGACGGCGCTGGTGCATTGTCCCAAAAGGATCTCAGGGGCGCCCTTGACGAAGAAACGGAACTTGTTGTTCGGGAGGCGCACAACGGCACCCATGGCCTTTCGCTTCGAGTTGAATGGGAAGAGCTGCTGAACAGGGCAGTTTTCGCGTTCGATGGCAATTTGCTGAAGGGCAAAGCATCGGCGAGCCCAGTCGAGCAGGGCGGTCTCGGTTTTCGTGCCTACAAATACCTGCTTTCCGTTCTCCTCCGTTTCGAAAGCAGTCGTGTTCATCGCAACGGACTGCTTGACAAGATCTCTGAAGTCCGCGTCGATTGCGGATGAAAGCTTGGACATTGGTACTTCGGTGGAAGCTTGGGACTTCTTGTCATCTCCAGTAACACGTACGTCCGACTCCCCATCCTCCTGGCCGGTCTCGGTTGATTGATCGTCAGAGGCAACGAAGCGGAACTTGCCAGTACCCAAAGTGCCGGCGACGACAGTCATGACATTCTCCGTCAGTGTACCAGTCTTGTCAGAGCAGATGACAGTCGCGTTACCCATCGTTTCGCAGGACTGCAGGTGACGGACGAGGTTGTTCTCCTTGGTCATCCGCTTTGTAGCGTAGGCGAGGGCAAGAGTGACGGCCAGGGGCAAACCTTCAGGCACTGCAACGACGATGATGGTGATGGATGTAATGAGAATCTGCAGGAAGCGTTGGCCCTTCTCCTCGGGTGAGTCTCTATTGTTAGGAAGATGAGCCAGGAATTCGATCGTCAAGACACCAAGAAGGAGAAGACCGGCACCACTGCCGAGCTTCGCAATGTAACCTGAGAGTGTTGTTAGCACACTGGCCAGCAAGATCAGAGGATTAACTTGCCCGCAAGAATGTTCAGCTTGAGCTGGAGAGGAGTCATTCCAGGATCGTCACGGAGGGACATCATGGTCTTGCCATGGCTTGAGTTCTGACCGACAGCAGTGACCAAAAACGTTCCAACGCCATCCAGAACTCTCGCTCCAGATATAATGAAAGGGTCAAGCTTCTTGGGGTTCACTTCCTCCTCGTGCAGCGCCCTCATGACGGCGTCTGCCGGTACCTTCTTGATCAGATCAGACTCTCCAGTTGCAGACGATTCATCGCAGCTGACGTTGTGCCCATCGATGAAAATACCATCCACAGGGATGATGTCACCCTGCTCCAAAAGCATGACATCTCCAACGAGAATATCGTGAACCGAGAGGTTGGCGGGCTTTCCGGATCGAATCACCTTGACAATGCGGTCCTCCTTCTTCTGGTTGAGCTTCCGGAATTGACGCTCCTTTTGCCAATCATTGAGTGAGCCGACGACCACGACAATCGTGATGGCGACGATAATGGCAACACCTTCAACCCACTCGAGCTTGGCCGTGTCATCTCCGTGATGAGTTGCTCCAAAAGTCTGGTACAATCCCAATGCAAGAGAAATGACGGCGGCCACACTCAGAAGAATCAAAACCTTGTCCTTCATCGCAATCCATGCGAGTTGCAACAGTGACAGCGATTTCCTCTCTGGCAGGATGTTTTGCCCAAATACTCTCTTCCGGTCGTCGAAGCCTTTGCCGGCACCGTCGCCGTGGTGGGCAGCATCCTGCTGAAGCGCATCCGTTGGTACAGCGTCCGAGGACGACGGGAGCTTCTTTCCCGCAGCGACGGCCTCCTCGAAGCTGATGCTGCCGTCAAGCCGGGATTCGTCGAGACTCAGACCGGCGCGCCTGTCTGTCCGTAGACCCTTCTCCAAGCCAACAAGACCTCCAACGGCCACGAATGCATCTAGACTCTTTGGGTTGATGAGCTTGGAAACCTGGCCAGGTGTGTAGGCAAACGGGTTGTTGTCAACACGGAAAGACGCCTCTTCGCCTGGGTTCGGTGCCAGGGCTTCGTCCGGATTTGCGTCATAGCCTTTGGGAGAGCCCGAAAGGTGTGCAGCGTCCTTGTCAGTGCCTTCATTTGTTTTCGACTTTGCTAGTGTCGTGTTGTTCGAATCCCAAGACTGGGACCGTGACTTCCTCGTGGGCACTGATAACGTATTATTGATTTCGTCGCCATGGTCTGAGGAAGACGGTGACGATGTGATTTGGTGTTGATGTTGGTCGTCTTCTGTAATTCGAACGCGATCCTGGTTAGTTTGGCCCGGCTGACCACGGTGGGAGAAGGATTATTTCATGACCGGTCCAGGGAGGGAATGCAATATGGCGTCATACCTTGGTCGTTTACGGCTGAAGTATCCAGCGTGATAGTAGGCGCCCGTGGCCGCCTCAGCGGAGAAGGATTCCGCGGCATGGCGATGCCTTAGACTGATGAGATGGGTTTGGTTGGTGTTTCTGCCTCGTCACCCAGAGTAGTGATCCTGGGGAGCGGTGGAAGCTTGGAGGGCAATGTAAGAATTTCAGGACAGTAACAGTCCGCCTGCCTCGTTTTGGGGGAGGAAGGAGTAATGATTGGCAGCTGCTTTTCTGCGATGGGCTGTGGTGAAAGGGTAGTTGCAGAACAACTTGGGATGCGCAGGTTGTAGTGCAAACAAAGAAGGGGCGGTGATGTTACACACGGAGTATGTAAATGGACCCAAAGAAGAGGGAGCCAGTTGTTCAGCGAGTGGCAATTGAGTGTAGCACCTCTGCGGGCTGAATAGAAGTTGACGATTCGGTTTGGATTGGGAGGCGGTGTAGATTAGTGTCAAAAGGGAGGCAGGGAGAGAGAAAACAATGGATCGAGGTGAGGGAGCTTGTTGAGCTGAAGCTTGTTCGCTGCTGCTTGTTGGTGGCGGTTTGGTCGTTTACCTCCCGGTGAGGATTATTGGTGCCAGCAATGCGGGTTGCGAGATGGGACCTGGATGCCAGTTGATATGTCCAGACGTGGAACCTCAGGCGAGGGTGATCTGGAGAAGGCAGCCCGCTAGGTTTGATGGGGTCATGACCTCCAAGGAGCCATAGAAGAGGGCTGTGAAGCGTAGACTTTTCTCTCTTGGATCGTTGAGGTATCGATTCGGTACGTGTCTTTCGGCGAGTCTATCCGGATGGTGGGAGATCAAAGTTGGATGAAAGGAGGAGATAAGGGACGGACAGAAATGTGGGCTGTGGCAGGGCAGATTTGGGCAGAAAAGAATCAGTACTTGGAGTCACGATGCCAAGGGTGAGGAAAAGAGAGAGAATTAGGTAGTGACGTGGGTGTGAGAACGAGAGGAAGCGTCTCTGCGTGATGGTGGTGATGGATGATGGTCTGTCGGTTGTGGACTGACAACGGATCGCAATCAACAACGGGCCAAGCGCCCGCAACAACCGCCAGCTTCACCTGCGTCAAGCAAGTTACAATGGAATTGATGATGGCACAGGGTTGCACGCTCGGGACGAGAAACATGGGGGGGAAGAGAAGAAACAACACGCCGCTAGGTTCTGGACATCGTAGGTGCCTCACCAGCTGGGCTTGGCAAGTTCTAGGCCGCCGAGCCAACGGGTGAGGTACTTTGGGCTGTAGAGCATTCATCAGGACAGGAGACTTACACAGCCACCATTGTCGGTGATTCGACCAAAGGCCAAGGAAATCCCAAGATGCCAAGACGTCGCTCACGCCCAGTACGTAAACGTGCAGGCGAGTGGTCATCTACGTTAATTCGCGCTCTTTGCTGCTCAGTGCTCACTCACTCTCATTGAGAAGAGACCAACCACATCATAAGGGTAATCTGCAAAGTACGGAGTACAGTGGGTGACGGGTTATCTCATCGCCAAGACGGGGGGCAGCTCATTGGATATCGAAAGTGCTGTTCAAGCTGTACAGGGGGGACGCCAAGCTATGTCTTTGAATTGCGGTGGGCGGTGGAATTGCATTCAATCTATCAAATAAAAACATTCAATCAGGTTAGATGCGAGGACCTCGCTCTCCCTCTTTGGTCGTCCTCCTCTTGACTATCGATTATGGGCTATAACCTTAAGGTAGCTTACTTGGGTAAAATAACAGTATCAGTACTGAGTAGCACGTATGCGGATACCATACTTGACCTTCATCTCACTCACTTTCATCTCAGTGGTCACTTTCACTCTCACTCTCACTCTCACTTTCACTTTCACTTTCACTTTCACTTTCACTTTCATAATCGCTCATTCATGGCAAACTCGGGGCCCAATACATGTCCGTTGACCGAAGTGAAGCACCATCCATCGGACCATTTACCGTCCCAGTTACCACGGGCCCGGTGTTCGCTTCACCGGATGAAGAGCTTTGGCCACTTTGAGCCCCAGAAACAGTGGACTGATCCATACGTCGCCTGAAGACCCGAATGAATCCAGCAAAGATTGGACGCCGCCGAGACATTTGTCTTCCTCCGTTCTCAAGTTTCTCTGTGACAACCGAGGAAGAAACAAGGAGGCCGCCGACCGCAAAATAGGGATGAGCCACAGTCCGGCCCTCTTGGCAGGAACCTAACAGTGGCCATCTTGATTCGGCAGCACTCCCGAGAAACACAGCGAAACGACAGAAAAGATGCTTAGGTTTCTGTCAACCGTCTGAGCCTTTGAGGCGAAAAGGAGCAACTATGGGGCGACATCTTCCATCCCAACTTTCATCATAGTAGCTTCTCCACGTTTTGTGCGGCCGTGCTCACAAGGTCAGATCGGGTACGAAAAGGCAATTTTGGTCTTTGCCATGCAGCGGTGCCCCAAACTCAACTCTCAATCGTGAGGGCATATGGGCTAATGGATGCATCTCATCATCATTGGGGCAACCATGGGAGCCATCCCGCGTAGAGGGATTGCCATTGTGGCACCCACACCCCGGAAGAGTCCAGTCCTTCTACATGCCCGGAGCCGGTGACAACCCGATTACAGATTATTACAGAACAGCCCGGAACAAGTATCCCGGCAGGCAGAGGGCCCCCCTGTCAGGTACACCGTACCGCGAATGCGCTGTCACAGGCACGAACAGATAACTACCGTCTTGAGATGCGCTCACCCTTGGGCTGGTTTTCTGGGCTCGGATGAGCAGAAAAGACATGGTTGGCTCTTGGAGGATTTGAGAGGAGCAAGACCTGAGGACTGAGGACCGAGAACTGCACTGCCTCTCTTGGTCGTCTCACCCTCTGTCGTTTTCCACCTCTTCCGATTTGTCTCCCACAATTCCTTCAGTCATCAATGACCACCGGCCGACTCAAGAAACAGATATACAGCAAGGGGCGGGGGATGGGGGATGTGGGAGACTGCCAAGACTTTAAACTGACATCATCTCAAATCACACAAGAACACACACACACACTCACTCACTTCTCCTGCCACAGAGAGGGAAGAAAAAAACAAGGCTTCCCCAACCAAACCAGCCATGTGCCTCGATTGCTCGGGTGTGTGTCACTGCCACGGTTGTCTGATGGAACGGAGATTCCAGCGAATACCTCTGAGAGCTGGCACACCCACATTGAACAACACAACCAAGACCAACTCACACGTGCAACAACTTGAAGATCAAGAGAGTGAGTGAGGCGCAGCTGTTGCAGCAGAGAAACGCCAAGAGAACGGCCTAATTTGGTTTTGTTTTGATAGTCGGCCCCCAGTCAGTCACACCCACACCCGGGAAACGAAGCAAGAAAACTTTATTATCGAGCAACCTCTCCTCTTAGTGCAGTTCCTCCACGAGGAAAGCTCCGAAAGCACCTTTTCCATGCCAGGGGTTGCACTCCTTTCCCTCTGACGTCAGATTAGAACCTAGAAGGCGGTTCTGAAGCTTCCATTCGGAAACCTGCGCCGAAACGGCATCTCCCAGCCAGTTATCTCTGTTCGTTTTCCAAGCTTCCTTTGTAAATTATCGCAACTTCTTGACTTGGTTTCCCGTCCCATTCAAACGGTAGTTCCTCCCAATGGACAGTGCCACGCGCTCCTCAAACCAAGTTTATGCGGATGTCTGCACTAGGTTCGATGTGGCTGGATCATTAGGGTTTTTTTCGTGGCGGTCTGGTCCCAACCTCACCACCTAAAAACGAGGTGAATTCAGGTTAGCCTAACTTTGACAGCCAAGCCCAATGGACCGACCGCCACTTTGTCGGCACAGCTGGCAGCATCCTTTTTTTCTCTCATAGCAAAACACCGATCGGCCGCCAAAGGCATGCAAGGTGAGACACCGTGATAGGTGCACAAAATACGCCCCATCGGCGCGCCAAGCGACGCGAAACCAGGACCGCCGCCGCTTTGCTTCCAGCCGTCATGAAGAAAAATACCAACGGCAAAACAACACTGCCTCAAATACCAAGACTGCCGCAGAACAAAGATTCGTCCTCACGGCCCTCGCTTACTTGCTTTCTCTAAGATGTTAGCCGTGATGTCTTCGTACTACGAATACGTATCCATATCGACTAAGACTTGCAAATCGCCGCCCCAGTTTCGCCCCTGAGTTGGTCTTGGCGCTGGCGCAGCAATTCTAATGACTCTGTGATTTCTCGTTTTCGCCCCTAAGGAGTCTACTCTGTATGATCTGTCGATGCGCGCGGAGATTGGCACAACGCCGGGCCATCCCGTTCCCTTCCATTGCGACTGACCATGCATGATGCCCCATGGCACGGGTAGAACTACATCCACTCCGGCCTCGACAGTGACATCCGGCACACGTCTCCGGTCGGGTCTCCACATTTACCGGGCTCATCGCCGGAGCCCCATCGGATGTCCCGTTCACTACCTCCTTTCGAGAAGTAGATGAACGTCTCTCAAGCACCATACGGCCCAAAGCCACCTTTACTCAGCCAACGTTAACATCTTGTGTAAGATTGGATCATATGGTCGCTGACGACTGATCCTTTATGCAGGTTGCATTTAGGCAATATAGACGTGATCTCACCCGGAGCTTACTGAGAATTTCGTATTACCAATCCATCTTAAATCTCGCCAGTTGACTTCAGCTATCTCCTAATAACTTTGGCCTCTTATAGAGGCTAATGGGTCTTCATATGATGGTGGTTTTTCGGAATGCTGAAGTCGTGAGATGACCCAAGCCACGAAAACCGCGTACAATACGCATCGTCTAGACAGAAGCAAGGAGTAGTCATTCACGCAGCAAACCAAACCTACCCCCCTCCTTACTTCCGTCACGAGTGAAAAAAGCCATGCCAACATACGTAGTCACCGGCGCCAGAGCCGGCATCGGCTTGGAATACATCAACCAACTAAGCAAATCCCCCTCTAACACAGTCATCGCCCTCGTCCGCTCCACCGCCCCTTCCACAGACCTCTCGGCCCTCGAAGCCATCCAATCCTCCAGCACCGCCACGACGCACATTCTCGAATGCGACGTCTCCTCCGAGGCATCCATCGCCGCGCTCCCCGGCCGGCTGTCAGCAGCCCTGCAAGAGAGCCACGAGACGCCGGCTAAAGTGGACTTTCTCATCAACAACGCCGCGACGCTGCAATTTGCGCACCAGACGAGCTTGACGCTTGATAAGGCAGGGCTGGACGTGCACATAGAGACCAACGTCCTCGGCCCGGCGAGGATGGTGCAGGTCTTGCTACCCTTCCTGACAGCCGAGGGCGATAGCGAGAAGGACGGTGTGGATGCTGCTGGCGAGGGCGCGGAGAGGATCGCCGCGGTCGTCGCCAACATCACCTCCGGCGCGGGCAGCCTGAGCTGGACCAGCGACGGCCGCGTCGGGATGCTGGCGGGCTACTCCATCAGCAAGGCGGCGCTGAACATGCTGACGGTGCATCAGGCGCGGGAGTTAAGGGGCCAGGGGATCGTCGCGGTGGCTATCGATCCGGGTCATGTCAAGACTGATTCTGGTGGGCCTGGGGCGACGGTTGAGGTGGAGGACAGTGCGGGGGGTATATTGGATCTGCTAGCTGGGCTCAAGAGCGCTGATGGCGGGAAGTTCTTTTTGTATAATGGGACGTCTGTCCCGTGGTAGGCCTTTTGTGATCTTTGCACAGGAAGCTGGAGAATGGCTTCTCCTGAGACTTGACCTGCTATCTCATTTTCAGTGATTTCACTATTATATCCTACTCTGGATATATGAGCAACCGAGAAGTTTGTGGAAGGTTTAAGTGGCATTCTCGGTCTGGATCTATAACATATTTACTGTGATTCTCGAGAGGGATGGTCATCGACCTGGTTATTTCTACATGGTAATGGAGAATACTATGTTTTATCTTCAATCTGCCTTTTGGAGAAAATGGCCTCAGATTTTTGGAAGACAATAGGCCTGTTTACTCCACTCAATATTTATAGAGAAAGTCATTCAGAGACGTGCTATCGAAATTTCAATCATGCGTCCTAAAAGCTTAATGTCTTGAATTCTTACTGACTCGTTCCTTAAGACTAACGGTTACCACTTCAAAATTCAGCAGATTTGTTGCACCTTCCCTTATAATAAAAAATAGATACGTTATGGAAATTGTGCTAGAGAAACCGGGACCTACAGTACAATTCGTTAATCGTCCCCCTATTCTAGTTATTAAATTCTTCTCGTATTCTTTATAAGCTTCGTTTCTATTATTTAAAGTAATTATTCTAGGATAGACAATATTTAAGGATAAGATAAAAGAGAACCACTGGACAGATTTCGATTATATAAACTTCACTCGGGACATCTAATTCCATTCATATCATATATCAAAAGCCAATTTGAAATACGTAGGCACCTCTACCGTCCTCGAACGGAAGATACTGAGAAGAAGTTGAGTAGGTAAGCAGGGAGGAAGGAAACGTCCCTGATTCGTTTCCTTCCACCACGACCCGAATACACACTTGAATACACACCCGAATACACACCCGGATACACCACAACCGAAACCCATATAGACCCCCTCAACTCCATTCCCGTCACCAGCCAGCAGGCGCCCCCTTAGGGGTCAGGTCAAAACTGGCTGGGTGGTGGAGTGGTTGAAGTCCACGAACAGCCTATTCGGTGAAGGCTTTGAGAGTTCCCATGTTCGAGTCCCAGCATGTGCACCCAGAGATGTAGCCCCCATTCGCCACCGGGGGGGTGAACTCTTTTGTAGTTTTGATATCTCTTTTTTTTTGAACCCTCGGTATATAGCAACTCGTACAAGCACTCGCACAATTTCCTCAGTACTGCTTTCCCACCGCGCAAATGCCCGCCGTGCCTTCCTCGGCAAGGCCATGATGAATAGGAGTTAAGAAGGAGAGAAGACGAAGCCACCCGGTTGAGTACGCGGAATCCAGACACATACGTCAGTCTTGTGTGACACCATCTATGCCCACGTGCCTCTCTTCCTTACAAGTCACATCACAAATTGTTAAATGTTAAGGACCATTGAATTAACTGGCTTAGCCACACTTGGGCTGCTTGGTAACATTATCATACGAAAGTAGACGCTAAGGGCTACTCAGAGTATCCTACACACTTCTTCTCAAAGGGGGCCGGTTCTAGGCCCCCGACATACAACTCGCAAAGAAAATAACCCTCCAATCAACGAAGCTTGCGTGCGATGCGCGGCAGCTTCTAGTTCCTCGTGCCCACGCGTCGTCTCCTTGTTGAAGAGGTTATATCTGCGTCGCCCGCCAACTCATCAACGTCGTCTTCCGCCATTGGTGTATCTTCACCTGTAGCGACGCTAGCCGGCCTCGTGTTCCCAGAGTTCGAGGGAGCTTGACCTGTGCGCTCCTTCTCCGCGTTACGGAGCTCTCCTATAATCTTCTCGACCTCCATAGACATCATCCTTGTAGAACGCACCACGGCGTCCTCGTCAACCTCATACCCCACTACGTCAGCCCCATCCGCAGCACTGCCGCCCTTCATGAAAGCCGGACCGGGCCCGCGACTCGGGTCCAGATTGTACATGATGGCGTTCGAGAACATATGAACAAGCTCTCGTTCGAGCTGAGCGCTGTTGATGATGCTCTTTGGTGGCACCAGATCGTCACTGACTGGCAGAAGAACGGACCCTGTGCCTGGGTCACCGTCTGGCAAGGCCTTGGCGGCCTCAGTAGCTGCTCTGTTGCCATGTGTGATAGCTGCACGAATAGACTTGATGTCTTGCGGCTGAATGATCAGAGTCTTGTAACCAGGGGCGTCTCGCTCTCGAATGGGATTCGCAAATTGGTTTGCAAACCTGTGAGCACCAATCTGATCAAGCGCAGCAGCACTTACACGACCAAACTGGCGTGTCCATAGCACGTGAGTCGGGGCTGTTGGCGGTGCGAGTGGCTCGGTTGGAGTATCCTGACGTTTGCGCTTATGAGCAAGCCGGGATGACACACTACTAGGTGTAATCATGTTGCGCCGACTTGGCACGCTTTCGTCAGCAGTTGTATCGCCCGTGTCATCTTGCGGTTTCGGTGTCGCTCTAGGAGTAACTCTAGGAGTGGCGTTCTCGTCCTTAATTCTGGGCGCCAGCTCATGGTGATCCATCGATAACTCGTCAGTTTGTGACGTGACTGACTGACTTCGTCGCGTACCCGCAACCGAAGGTGTGCTGTCGGCACGGACCTTGTGCGCGCTGCGTGGGGGTCGGCCTCGGCCTCTAGGGCCGGGAGTCTTGGTCTCTGACTTCGGCACTGGAATGGGTACGGGTGTCGGCTTGGGACTGGGCTTTCGCGGTGCTTGTGTAGGTGTAGGCGCAGGCGGCAACGGCGCAACTTGCTGCACAGGACTCAGTGGTTCAAAGGCGGGACTAGCAACCTCCTTGTCTGATGCACCCGGCCGAGGGGTCGAAGGCGTAGAAGTCACGGTCCACTTAGTTCCGGAGCCAGTAAGAAGGAAGCTGGGAGGCGCTGTGATAGGCGTCTGTGGCAGTGGAATAGGGGTGTTCGCGGCCCGTTGTGCCGGAGGTGCAGCAGCAGCAGCAGCAGCAACTTGCGAAACCAGGTGAGGAGGAATAGCAGGCCGGGGTTGTTGCTTGTTGAAGGGAGGGCTCACGCGCCTTTGAGCATCATTTGGCTTAGCATTCGGCTGGGATGGCGTAGGGGCTGGGGCCGGAGCTGGCGTAGGGCTGAATTGTTGCTGTGCATAGGGGGAAGGGTGAGGTTGCTGCCATCTTGGAGGAACGACCGTCTGCCCTGAAGCACCAGCGGATGGGGTAGGTGATGCTGCAGCAATAGGTCGTGGCTGCTGAACGGTATGTGGCCGCGCAGAAGGCGTAACTGACGGGCCTGGTGGGCGGCCTCTGCGCGGTAGGTTCCCAGAGCTCTCTGAGGGCTCCTTGGTCGGCGTTGAGTGGGCTGGAGCCACCAACTGTCCCTTTGGCTGAGGCTGAGGCTGAGGTGTCGGGGGTTGGTGATGCTTTTGAGGCTGAGGCTGATTCTGGTTTTTGACTGGTGTCTGAGTCTGGGGTTGAATATGAACGTGAGCCTGAGCCTGAGCCTGACCTTGAGCCTGAGTGTGAGCTTGAGCCTGAGCCTGCGGGTGAGATTGGGCCTGCCCTTGGGGCTGAGGGTGACCTTGGGGTTGAGGGGCTACCAGCACCGGCTGGGGTTGCTGCGAGTATCTCTGTGCCTGATTTGCTTGCATTGGAACATGAGGAGGCTGCGGAGGACCATGGTATTGCCCTGTTGGTTGAGGATACCATTGAGCAGGATGATGTGCCTGATTCGGGGTAGAAGGTGCAGGAGGTGTTGGGGTTTGAGCTGGCATAGGGCGGCCCTGTGGTTGAAGTGCCGGTGCCGCAGGCTGATATGGCTTTTCCCACTTCAGAGTGCCCGGAGTCGAGGGTTGAGCGGGCGTCCCTGGCGTTGGAATCCGAGTTTTGGGTATGTTTTCCGGCCGTGGTGATATTGCCGGCAGAGGGACCGGCGATGTCGACTGACCGGGCCGAACTGGCGGATGCCCAGCACCAGCAGGGGGCTGCAAGACCTGACCGGCACTATTGGGAGGCTTCAGATTTTGATGCTGCTTGGCATCTGGCCCGCTAGCGGGTGCCGTAACCGATGCACCGGCAGCAGACACAGCTTGCGCCGGAGGCACCGTAGGTGATTGCTGAAACGCGCCTGCCGGCGGAGCTACATCTCGTCTTGCTGGCGCAGGCTGTAGGGCCGGTGGTGGAGCTGGCGCAACGGTCGTTGGTGGCCGTGGGAGCGCTTGAGGCTGCAGTGGTACATGTCTCGGAATCGGTACTGGAGTCTGCGTCGGAACGGAGCCTTGTCCGTTCGCAGGCCTGATCGGTCGCGGAGTCTCAACGGGAGGCGTTGGGGTCGATCGCTTGGCTTGATTTTGAGATGCGACCTGGCCGGGCGTGGAATTCAAAGAGGGGACCGGTACAGGTGTCGGGACAGGCTTTGGCGCTGAAGACCCATTTGGTGCGACTGGACGGGGTGTGTTCGCCTTGGCTCGATCGATCGCCTCTTGCGTTTCAAGAATCTTGATATCTCTGGCGAGCGTCTCGATGCGCCGTTCATCTTCCTTGATGTCCCTGACGATATTTTCCTTATATCTTGCATAGAGTCGATCCACCAACGCGGGGAACCTATGTGACTGCTCCTTGACCTCCTTAAGCGTAGGTGGTGGTGGATGACTGAGCTTGCGTTTCTTCAATGTTGGCGACGCGCCATCGGCCTTATCGGTCGTCGCATTCTCGATCCTCAACTCTTCCTGCAGCAGGTGCAGGAAGAGTTGTCGAAGCGCATCCGGGCTCAGTCGTTTAGCATCGTATGTCTTGTCATCTTTGATCAACGAGTTGTTGACGAGAAGATCCGAGACCTTGACGAAGGCAGTGGCTTCGACGCCGTGCTTAAGGATGGCTTGGAACAGAAACAAGGACTCGAGAGGAGTGTAGGCGGCCGGATTATTCATGCCCCAAAGCCCACCTCGCCAGTGATCGAGGGAGCCGTCGCGTCTCGGGAGAAGGTGGATGGGCGCCAGGGTCTGCATCTCAGACGTTAGACAAGTGTCATCTTATCAAGACGTCGCAAGGCTGAGAGTCGCGCGTCGCGGGACGTACTGACAGCCTCTATGAGGAGCTCTTGGTGGGCCGAGGCATCTACTTGCACGCGTTCAGGGGTAGGAAGCGGTGGCTATCGGGAGCCACTCGTCGTCGCGCGCAATAGTCGTGTCGTATGGATGGTGTTTTTTCGTCTGCTCGCCGATTTCGGTCACGTGATGCAAGATGTTTGGAGGTGGAATTTTTGCTAGTATTGCTTGCAGGCGGGCCGCTGGGCGGTCGATGAAATTTTTTGTTGGTCGACTGGCAAGGTTTGGAGAGAAGATGGGGAATTGAGAACGGAATCTGGAGTACGCGGCGGGCGGGACGAACCAAGGACGCAGTGCCGCAGTGCAGGACAGCGTATCAGCTTGGAGGCAGGCGAGGCTGAGGTTTTGGGTCGTATCACGTGGTTTTGGTGTACATCCGGGGATCATGCTTGGCCGCAGCTTTAGTCAAGCATCCAATGACAATGGTACCTGTCCGTCAAGGTTCCATGCTCTCAGCGACGTGCAGCCAGTCCGATGCAGATAAGAATGAGGCGCCAAGGCATCAGTGAAAGGCAGGGGGAAGGTGCACAGGGAGAGAAGACCGGGGCTGCTTGCGGCCCGCCAGCGCTTCTGTTAGCCTCAGGTCGTATTAGCCAGAAAACGGAGACCGGTCCAGGAAACTGCAGGCTCGAAGCCGGACTTGAAGAAAGCGTGGCAATTGGCAACTGGCAAGCACGGCGTCGTCTTGTCGGTGGTGAGGCGGGCAGGCTGCAGGAGTGAATGTACCTGTCCCCTGTTTCCTCGTTTCCTTAGTCAGACCGATCGGTCCCGTTAATTTTTTTTCTCCTTCACGGTTCCCCATGTCAAAATAGGAGAAAGCTGAGCTGGCAGAGAAGCAATCCACATGGAAGCATTCCGTCCAATCGTCTCCATCAATCCCTCTTCCCGGTCTCCCGGTCTCCCGGCCTCCCGTTATTGGGGCCCCGAAGCTTGCGGAATCGTATCCTAGCCCGAATGTTCTCCTCGTCGAAGACTTTGGTACCGCCGGCTCCATCTGGGAAACATTCTCAGCTATGCGGCGTATCTGATGGTCCAAGTGAAAGAAGGCCTTGCAGCATTCAGGTTGCGCGCAAACGTCTCAGTGTAACAGAGCTGGCAGCTTCCCAGACCGGCCTCGCCGCCCTGAGTTTGAGATGCTGCCGGTACGAGTAAGGACGCTGTGACGTCTGTTCGAAGATACTTGAAGTTCGGTACTTTCTTCGAGATGACAACATCGCCTCTCAGCCACCATCCGGGCTTGTTGCATGTGTCCAGCCATTGTCCATTCTCTGCCGGCGAGTTTAGCGCTCCAGCTGAACTAACAAGAGGCAATTGCTTCAGGTACGCAGTCGAGACGCAGGGCATGCTAATAAAAGGAGAACTATATCAACTATCAATTGCACATACTACGTAAGGGCCAAAGAGGCGAAAACGCATGCCTCTCTCCCTTATCAAGGATGGCGAAAATTTATATTGGCTGTCGTGGGCCGTATCCATAGATCTGCCCCGTCATTTCCAAACGGCGCTTCTGTCGAGCCTGTACGAATCGAATCAAATGTAAACAAAGCTCTTCTCAGAACCCTGACCCGAGAGCCGCTTGCCCAGCCTTGGGCATGTGAGTGTCCCATTTGCGGTTCAGGACTGCTCAGTACCGATGCTACTGTACACGAGCATGTCACTCTCTCTGCCTAGTCTGCCGAGAGGGTACGCGTGAGAAAAGTTTGAGAAGAGGATGCGCACTGGGAGACCTGCCAGATTCGCTGAATTGACCCGAAGCAAGCGAAGGCCTTGACTCGGCCGGGCCAGGCATGCCCCTGGATTCTGGAGCCAGTGAATTGCGTCTCTTTCTTTTTTTAAGCTCGGCTGTCTGGGACGGTGGATGCAGGTCGATTGGCGGATTGCGAATTGCGAATGAGCATTAGTGGCGGCGGCTCAAAGGAGCTGACAAGCACACAAGCAAGAGACCCCCCGAGCTTACGCTGTATGTATGTGGACAGTAGAGGTGCCCGGCCCAGTTAACCAAGCTGGGCGGCTTGGCACCGGGACATGGAGGCAATGCTCGGGATGAAGGGGGATTTTGATGCCACGGGGCCGGATGAGATATCCATCGGTAATGTCTGGTTGCCATAGCAGGCTGAAGATGGCTTCTAGGCCTCAGGTTCCCGGGCTGGCAGCAGAAGCAGCGAGGATACCACTTGGTAGTGATGCTTTACCATACCATAGCCATATCGCGGATGCTGATGACGATGTTTCTGGAACAAGAAACATGGGATAACTTGAGTAGCCTCCAGATGGACAACGAGGCTTGGAATGAAATCTCATTAGAACAAAGGCCAGGCCGTCCAGCCCGTATGCTCTTCCGCACCCTTTGCCTAGCCCAAGTCGGGCACCTTGATGCCATCGACTCTGCCGATGTGGTGCTAGAAACTCGTATGCATGCCCCTATTGTTTGCAATACCATAGCCAATATTGGGAACATCGCAATGGGATCTTGAGTCTGGAGCTTTGGCTCTCAGTGACAGACTCTCCCCAGAGTTCCTGGCTAGTGAGCACTAACGACCTGAAGTCTGGCGGGCGATGCTGCCGTCCAGCTTCCCGACGACAAGCGTAGGCAAGAAACATTGGCCGCGGAGTCCCCGTGCAAATCTCGGGGTGAACCGGTATCTCAATTCCATGGCAAACTAGCGCTTCGGCCTGAGGCCACTAGATTTGGCCTGAGTTGCCGGGCCAAAGAAAAACTTCGCCTTTGCTGCTGGCCTGCACCTTCCCACAGTGAAGTTTGGGGTTGGAGCAGCGGAAGGGGGCGACTCCACCCGCGCCTGCCCAGTGCCCACCCATGGAAGGGAAAGAGGACACCTGCACCAGAGCCACCAAGTGCACTTTCCCTACCAAGTCTGGAGGGCCAGCAAAGAGAAGGAGAAGGAGGGACCCGCTCTTGTCCACTTCTCACGCACCCTGAGCCCGGCCTGGGGTGGTCGGTGCTCCTTTCTTAGCGCGGCCCGGAAAGATTCGCTCAAAAGCTGTTCCTTCTTCGGCCACCCTGCAGGAATTTTTTTTTCCCTCCCTCAAACCTGCTGCCGTCGGAGCACTTAAATTCTCTCGACTCGCTCTTCCGTCTTCTCATCCCCTTCTACTCCTCCGTCCATCTCCGCTCATTCTTTTCTCTGAGGTTGATCTTTTGAGAAGAAACCCACAGCCAAGATGTCTGTTCCTGTCGAAAAGCAGAAGGTCCTGGGCATGCCGGTAAGCTACTACTCATTCTTCCCTTCATTGTTATCCGAGGCTGCGGGAAAAAATGCACCTCACCGGCGACGTCGCTTCCTTCCATCATCGGTCTACCATCAATGGCCATAGCATCCAGCTATGGATTCCATCGAGACATTGCGAGTCTCAATCTGATGAATAGGATTTTACGCGACAATGGTTTGCTGTACAGCTTATCGTCGCTGATGGAACGAACAACGTCGCTGGAGCTGGTCTACCTTGACCTGCCTTCGGATATCTATCAATTTCAAGATGAATCAATTTGCTAACTCAATCTCACAGCCCTTCGTGGCCGACTTCCTTAGTACGTTGCACAACCCATTTCGATATCGGCACTTGCCATCGATCAGTTTTCCGACCTCGGCGAGCTGATCCCGGTACCGCAATAACAACAATGAACAATCACTAACAGTTTCCTACAGTGGGAGGTGTCTCCGCCGCTGTCTCCAAGACTGCCGCCGCTCCCATTGAGCGTATCAAGCTTCTCATCCAGAACCAGGTTAGTAAACATGGCTGCTCAATCAATTTGGACAGCTAGCCGGCCAAGGTCGGACCGGGTCACCCCGGTCGAAAAAGTTATCCAAGATGACACGTGACCTTGGCCATCTTCGCTGCTAGTATATTGTCAATCGAACCGCATCTAACAGCCTCCCAGGATGAGATGCTTAAGCAGGGTCGTCTTGACCGCAAGTACGACGGTATCGCCGACTGCTTCCGCCGTACCGCCGCCGATGAGGGTGTCATGTCTCTGTGGCGTGGTAACACTGCCAACGTCATCCGTTACTTCCCTACCCAGGCCCTGAACTTCGCTTTCCGCGACAAGTTCAAGCAGATGTTCGGCTTCAAGAAGGAGCGTGACGGATACGCCTGGTGGATGGCTGGTAACCTGGCCTCCGGTGGTGCTGCCGGTGCCACTTCCCTGCTCTTCGTCTACTCCCTCGACTACGCCCGTACCCGTCTTGCCAACGACGCCAAGTCCGCCAAGAAGGGTGGTGAGCGCCAGTTCAACGGTCTCGTTGACGTCTACCGCAAGACCCTCGCCTCTGACGGTATTGCCGGTCTCTACCGTGGTTTCATGCCCTCCGTTGCTGGTATCGTCGTCTACCGTGGTCTGTACTTCGGCATGTACGATTCCATCAAGCCCGTCGTCCTTACCGGTAACCTCGCCAACAACTTCCTTGCCTCTTTCGCCCTTGGATGGCTCGTCACCACCGGTGCCGGTATCGCCTCTTACCCCCTTGACACCATTCGTCGTCGCATGATGATGACCTCTGGTGAGGCCGTCAAGTACAAGTCTTCTTTCGACGCTGGCAAGCAGATCATCGCCAAGGAGGGTGTTAAGTCTCTCTTCAAGGGTGCCGGTGCCAACATTCTCCGTGGTGTTGCCGGTGCTGGTGTCCTGTCCATCTACGACCAGCTCCAGGTCCTGCTCTTCGGCAAGGCCTTCAAGGGTGGCTCTGGCTAAATGCCTTTGACACTTCTTCGTGTATAAACTCTTCACTGGTGGCGGGTTGGGCAGTTGGCGAATACCCGGGCTGTGGGGATTCGTTACTGGTTAGGATCAGATGAGGAATCGGTTGACAAAATGGGGAAGATGGATGTTGCGGAGGGGCTTTGGATGCAGGCACCACAAGACGTGGCACGCCTGGATCGGCCAG